GGAGGGTTACCTAGGCCTAGGCGCCCCCTTATCTTGGGGAGACATTCCTGGGCAGTGTTGATCTGGAGAATTAGCTCTTACACTGTGCCGGGAGGCTTCCCAAGGCACCATGTAGGCTTTTACCAAAACTATTTTATCTAAAATAATATGCTAAGATTCATTGTCCCCTACATCCTCTCGCTAGAATGAGAGTTTCACGAGACTAGAGACCCTGATTGTCTTCCTCTTGGAGGTACCCTCCCTATAAGTGTTTCTGTACATTCTGTATGAATGAAGTTTCTTATCGTTTTGCAGTGCTGGAGCTCAAACCTAGCCCGTGAGTACGCGAGGCAAGTGCTCCACCACTGAGCTGTCGCCCTGGCCCCTGAGTGAAGTACTTAGAAGCTGACTGGGTCAAACGTTCTGTCCTGGTACGCTTTTAGCCAGGCCACGTTGTCTCTCCTGTCAATCACCCATCCCTAATGATGGAGTGGAAATTAGTTAGAATGTGAGGGAATCAGGGATATGATGGAGAAACAAGAGAAGGAAATAGGTAGCAAGTAGATAAATCCCAGTTAGACAGGAACACGGAACTGACTTTTGCTCTTCAGTTTGCTTTCCTGCCTTCAACCAAACTCCCCCATATAGCACACTGAAATTTCTGTACAGTGAGGAACATCGTTTATGAGTTTTTGGTTTTGTTTCTGTTTTTGTTTTTGTTTTTTGAGACAAGGTCTCAGTACATAGTTCAGGCTGGCCTTGAGCTCGTTACGTGGTCCAGGCCAGCACTGAACTCGTAGCAGTTCGCCTGCCTCAGCCTTCCAAGTGCTGGGATTACAGGCATATGTCACCATGCCCGGCTAGCAGGTGCATTCTGAAGACCTTTGGAATGAGTTTAACCCATGACTTATTTCTATTCCATTTCAGGTATTCCCTCCCAAATCCTCCTCAGACAGTGAGGCAGAAGATGAACTGTCTGGGGATGGGCTGGCGTTGCCCAGGGCTGGCAAACTGCATGAGTTCCTCAGCCCAGAAGAGGACACAGACTCTACTTCTGACTCGACTGGGAGCTTTTACGAGACCCTGCAGGTTCTGAAGCAGGAAGGCAGCTGGGGTCTGCTGGAGTCCCTCTTTGCCTCTGACCCAGACAGTGGTGAGAGCTTCTCTGAAGATGAGGACCTGGAGAGTTTCTTCCAGGACAAGGGCCGGGGGAGGCCGCAGGTCAGATGCCCTCCATCTCTGAGGTAAGGCGCTGTGTTAACAGCTGCCCCAGGAGAGTCACGCCGTGTCTCTGGGCCTCACTTCCTTCCTGTGAAAAGCAGTGACCCCTTCCGCTACTTCTCAAGGTTCCAGGTCAGATGCACTTTTGGGGCCAAGCAAGGGTTGCGGTTCCCACCCAGGAGCCTAAATCACGCTGGGTAGCTCTTAGTTCAGGGACGCATTGGAATTAACTGGACACCTTTCTCCCCACATTTTCCCCCAGGAATGACAAGGCACCTTCACCTCGGTCAGGTCTGTCACATGCACGTGTGCTTTATTTCATTTACTATTTGCTTTCTCCTCCCAGTAGCCTTTGCAGTGGATATTGTTTTGCCATTTTACGTATGAAGAAATGCAAAACTTGAATGTCTGAAGCAAGGTTGTAACTTAGGTCTGCCTGAGCCCCCGTGGTGCCCCATTGTCCTTTCTCCTATGCAGAGACAGAGGGCAGACTGGCGATTTATGAGAAGAGCCCCCCAGGGCAGCTAGGGTTGCCGTGGGAGCAGGGAGGCCTGTGGGGCTGTGGGACCCCGAGAGGCTGCCGTGAGCCGCACGCAGCACAGCCGGGGGAGGAGGATGAGGGGGCAGCCAGGCCTCCTGACGGCCCTGGCCTCCACACAGATCCGCTTTCTCCCCCAGGTGTGGCTCCACAAGGCGCTGCAGTTCCCTGAGCAGCCTTCCCTGCGACATCCCCAGGGCCCGGGCACAGCCGCCCTCAGGCTCCGGGCCTCCTTCCCGGCACAGAAGCATCCGCTCCTGGGCGTCCTCCATCACTGTCCCGCGTCCATTCCACATGACGCTGCGTGAGGCCCAGAAGAAAGCCCAGTGGCTGGCGTCGCCGGCCTCCTTTGAGCAGGAGAGGCAGCAGGCCCAGAGGCAGGGCCAGGAGGAGGCCGAGTGCCACCGGCAGTTCCGGGCACAGCCTGTGCCCGCGCACGTCTACCTGCCCCTCTACCAGGAGGTCACGGCGCGCAGGGAGGCCCAGAGGCGGGAAGGGATCAGGAAGAGGAAGGAACTGCTCCTGTCCTCCCTGAAGCCCTTCAGCTTCCTGGAGAAGGAAGAGCAGCGAAAGGAAGCTGCGCGGCAGAGAGACCTGGCTGCCACAGAGAAGGCCGAGGCCCCCCGAAGGAAAGCCCCCCGAAGGATCCCAAAGTCCGTTCTGGAGCCAGCGCTGGGGGACAGACTGGAGGGTAAAGCCATCCGTGCCGCACTGCCGCCTCCTTGGGCGCGCCGAGAGGCCTTAGGGAGTTAGTTAGCCTGGCCCCGAGACGAGCTTTCGAGGGGCCCCGCCGGAGGCCGCGTGCTCGGCGCAGCCCTGCGGGACTTGGGGAGCTGTGAGCCTCTTACCGGGGCCCCGCGGCGCGTCCTGTGAGCTCTCCCGGGTCTCGGGTGAGGGCTCTGTGCCAGCACACGCAGCCGCGGCCGCGAGGCGGAGGGCCACCCGGGCTAGTGCCGCCCCGGCAGCCGCCCGAGGAAAGCTCCGGGCGCCTCGCTCAGCTGGGTGCGGGAGTTACAAGTCGCTGGGGTTCCTTAGGGACGATCATGTGCCTGTTTCAAACAGCATTGCTGTCTGGGGGACGGGGCTGGAGCTCGGGGCAGAGCTCGCCTCGCTCGCGTGAGGCTCTGGGTTGCACCCGCAGAACCTCAGAACAGACAAAAAGTACAGCTCGGGCTTTATTCATTCTTCGGTCTTAGTACGCAGCTCAGCAGGCGCTGCCCTGCCCTAAGGAGATGCGGGGTTTGTGGCCAGCAAGCGGGGGGGCTGGTAACAGACAAGTAATCAGTGACGGAGGCGTCCTGTGCGGGGCTAACGGGACGTGGGTCCGCGAGCACCGCAGAGGCGCTCTCAGCGTGCGGGGCAGCACCCCGAGACAGCGAGCGGGAGGAGCGCGCGGGGAGGGGGCGCCGAGGCTAACTGCGGAGACGGAGGGGCAGGCAGAGAGAGGTGGGGCCGGGCGTGGGAAGCCGCGCGGGCGGAGGACGGGGCCTCGTGGGCCGCCTGGGAGTTCGGACTTGTCCGGAGGCCCCGGAGAGCCGCTGACGGGCTTCAGCACGCTGGCTCGGGACGGACCCCACGCAGTCACACGGCTGCACGGGTAGCGAGAGCGTGGCGAGGCAGCGCGGATGCTGGCCGGTACCCTCTGTCCCCCAAGTAAGACCTCGCCGGAAGGGAGTCCGCCTGGAAAACTGCAGATCAGAGCTGCCGGCCCCAGCCAACCTCCGCTTGCCCCCTGCCTCGCAGACTGGCCGCCGAGCGGGGTCTTGTTTCGGGGGAACACGATAAGCAGGCATTTCAGAAATGCACAGCGGGGCAGTGGTGAAGCGCAGGGACCCTGAAAAGTGGGCCGGGGAGGGCTTCGAGAGGAGGAAATGGAGAACCTGTGACTGCGGAGAGGAGAGGAGGAGCGTTAGGAGTGGTTCGGGCGAGGGGACGGTTGGCGGAGGGGGCTCTGCTCAGAGACCAGGGAGCCCGGGAGGGGCAGGCGGCTGGCCGGCTCCTCTCTGCCGGGAGCCGTGCCGGGAGCCGCGGGCGCCGCCCGCTGGCCGCAGCAGCCGTGTCCGGTCGCGGTGCGTTCCTGAGCGCTCCAGGAAAGAAAGGCGGCAGACGGCTTTGTGGTGCTCGCCCTTGTCACTCCCGTCACCGCTAGCCGCAGCTCCCCCGTGCAGCCAGCAGGCGCACGAGGCCCCCGGAAGCTGCCGGCCGGCTGCAGCACACTCCTGCCGGGGCTCCGGGCCTTCTGCCGGGGAGTGTGGGCCCTCACCCGCCGGCCCTCTGCCTCGTTCTCCACAGAAGCTGAGCTCTTCAGGAGAATCCGCATCCAGACGCGGGCCCTGGACACGCTCCACAAGGCCTGCGCGCCCCTCGCCGCCTCCAGCGGCCGGCCGGACCCCCGGGCCCGCGCGGCCGCCCGCACGCGGGAGAAGCAGCTTGGCTTCCTGCACACCGACTTCGGGTTCCAGCCTCGGGTGAACCCTGTCGTCCCTGACCACGAGGCCCTCTTCAGGGCTTTCCAGAGGAGGGCGGCGAAGAGAAGGGAGACCCGAGAGGCCACGCGCAGCAAGCCTTTCTTGCTGAGGACCCCCGGCCGGTGCCGCCCTCCGGGGCCCTGTGACGCCGCCGCCGGAGGGAGGAGGGTGAGAGCCGGGCACTGCCTGAGGCCCAGGGTGGGCCCGGGGGTCCCGGAAGCACTTTTCACGCCGTCTTCGTCTGCCCCAGACAACAGCAAACTGCCATCTCAGTGATAAGCACGTCCGCGCAGGAGGGCTCCCTTTCGTCCCTCTCTCTGGAGGGGTTTTACAGAGATAAGTCTAAGCGGGTTTGGGAGGCTGAGGACTGGAATCAATTGCTCGTATCCTTATATCGGTTCTGAGGAATTCCCATCGGATTGAAAACTTCAGGACACGTCCAAGTCTTGGCCTGGTAACTGGCCTTGCAGTCTCACTGTCCTTGCCTTATTCCCAGGAAGAAGAAGATTCTTGTTTTCAGTCCTTCACTGAAATTGGATCCTCACTGGGACGGAAACCAGCACCACAGACTGTCGCACCAACGCCAGACTTCCTTCCTTGCAGGGCTCCCCCCAGCCAGCAGCCACAGCCCGGCCCAGGAGTGCTTCGCTGAGTGGCCTTGCCTCGCTCTCTGTCAACACCCTCCCTGTGCACATCACGGACGCCGCCAGGAAGAGGGAGTCTGCAGTCAGGTGAGTGGCCGGCCCCACGGCCCCAGACGCTGGGCCCCACCCGGCTGCCCGGCCTGCTCCACTGTCAGAGACTGCTCAGGAGGGAGAAGGGCTTCTGTGACCGGGCAGGGATGCGCGTGGCTCTGCCCGTCTGGTGTGGACAGCGCCCGGCCCTCACTCAGCAAACGCGGGACTCACTGCGAGTAGCAAGGTCGGCAGGACAGAAAGAGGGCTGCAGACGGACCAGTGTGTATCAAAGCAGGTAAGTGAGAGAGGAAGGCAGCCACCAGCGAAAAGCAGTCGGAGGAGCCTGAGGCAGAGGGCTGAGCCTGCCGCAAAGGAGACAGCTACTGCCGCCACTGCCGGTTTGTTTTCTCTTTTCCAGTGCTGAAGATTGAATCCAGGCCTTGGCGATGAGCTACAGCCCCAGTCCTCTTTTTTTTAAGACAAAGAGACAAGGACTCACTAAGTTACCCAGGCTGGACTTGCACTGTGATCATTTTTTTTTTTTTTAAGACAGAGTCTTGCTATGTAGTACAGGCTGCCTTGAACTCACTATGTAGCCCAGGCTGGCCGTGGACTTGTGGTGATCCTCCTGCCTCAGCCTCCCGAGTGCTGAGATCACAGGTGTGCACCATGCCAGATTTGAGGTGCTCTGAGTTTTAGGGAGGTGTCCAAGTTGGATAGAAGAAACAAGGAGCTTGTTTTGCTTCCTTTCTTGGCGGTGCTGAGGATCACGTACAGGGCCTTATATACGTTAGGCACGTGCTCTACCACGCAGCCTTTTTATTTTTAACCCTTCAGTCGAGCCAGCACCTCAGAAGGGGCTCCTCCTTGAGGCCTCTGAGCGACTGTGTGTGTGTGTGTGTGTGTGTGTGTGTGTGTCACTGCAGTGAGCAGCTGAGCCCTGCGGGACTAGCGGCTTAGTAGTTCTTAGAGCCTTTCCCTCCGGGTGCTCCCCTGGGGGCTCCCCGTGTGTTTAGAATCCTTGAGTTTCCTAGAGTTACTAACTCAGGGCCAAAGGCATCAGTACACGGAGGCCCCGTAATCCCAGCCTCACGAGGAGGCCAGCTCTCCTGTGGGAGACGGCCCGCCTGCTCGCCAGCAAGAGGGAGGGTGACATCTAGCAGACCGAACCTCCTTGCTGCTCCTCCCCTCCTGTCCACTTGAACAGACACATCTCAATACAACACATCTTGCTTGTTTTTCCTTTTGGTAAAACTCCACATAAAACCTTAAATAGAATAATTTAAAAAGTAAGGGCTTCAAGTTGATTCCAAATTGTCTGCATTGAAGGAGGCCCATTTCTAGTTTTTTGTTGTTTGCTTTTTGTTGGAAATGTGGATTTGTATGTCCAAAGAACCATGAACCCAAGTACCTTCTGGCCTACTGTTTGAGGTGCAGTGGGCAGAGGCTCGTGGGTCAGAAGTTCGGTTCTAATCCTGGCCTTTCAGTTGGCATGCTGGGTAGCTTTGCACAAGTGGCGTACACTCTCTGACCCTCAGTCTCTTCTTGTGGAGGAGGTTTTGCATCTGAGGTTTACAGGAAATGTAGTAGTATGTGGTTCATGGTACACAGCTCAGCAAATGATGGCTGTTGGTACTTACTGCTTTCAGATAGGTGCAAGCCTAGCAAATCTAATAAATACTTGGCTGTTTAAGGATATTGTAACTTATGCCTTCTCCACTTCAGTTAATGAATGAGGTAGGAGATCTCTGGGGCTTACAGAACTGGAACGGCTTCATCTGCGGGTGGATTTCATATCAAAATCTTGTTCTTTCTGAAAATGCCCACACTGGTAAATGCATTCATAGAAAACACCAACATACTTTCCGGAGAGATGATTAGGATTGCGCTTAAATATACCCAGGATGTGTACTCTTGTTTTTGCTCCCTCCCTTCAGAAGTTTGCTTGAAAAAAAGGAGCAAGCGGATGAGAGTATTCAGTGGTTGGAGATGCACAAAAAGAAATGTCAAGCGCTGTCTAGGTCTGTGGCCCTGCGTGCAAAAGCCATGGATCCCCATAAGAGCCTGGAGGAGGTGTTCAAAGCCAAGCTGAGAGAGAACCGGTAGGTGTCTGTCTTGGGATCCAGGAAGATTGAAAAATGGCAAGCTGGACTTCTTGGGGGTTAGCGCCTGTAATCACAGGAGTCAGGGATTTTGCCAGGAAGTTAGGAATTTACAAGGTACTTCCGAGTTACTCCGCCTCACGGGAATGGATGGTGTTCTGATTGGAGGAGATGAAATTCTTTCTAGAAATCTTGTTAATTCCAGGAACAATGACCGTAAAAGAGCAAAAGAATATAAGAAAGAACTGGAAGAAATGAAGAAGAGAATACAAGCAAGGCCCTATCTCTTTGAACAAGTTACCAAGGTAAAACCACACTGTCACTTAGCTGCTTTCTGCCTTGCATGAAAGGGCTCTTAGAGGTCACGAAATAATTTCAGTACGTGAGCACTGAACACTTACTGAAGACTCAGGCATTCTCAGCCGGACCCCTTTATTGCCGCCACGTTTCTCCAGATGCAGGCCTTGAAGGGCTCGGGTGCTCACATGCAGCTCACCAGGCTCCTCCCAGACGAGGCGGCTTTCAGGCAGAAGCATGTGGAGACCCCCCCCCCCGACCCCCAGGGAAGGCAGATCCCTGAGCTCTCCCCACGAGTGCCGGAGCTGCCTGCATGGCCCAAAGGGCCGCTGTCCCGAACACCCGGGCTGCATCAGGCTCTGTGGGTCCCTTTACTCTGCACTTTCAGCACTTGGGGTTCCCTAGTGACTGGTTCTGATTGCTGGGCATTAGCTCCACCCCCAGCTAGAGCTTAATCTAGGCATCTGCGGGTCAACTCCAGCCCCACTGCCCATCCCCAAGTCACACGCAGGCTGGGCTCTCTTGGATTTGCTTAGTGTCTCTCAAGCTATCCAGGTGTAGTACAAATGCCTGTAATCCAAGCGGCCTGGGAGGCAGAGACAGGAGAATGGCAGGTGTGAGGCGAGCCTGGGCAACTCAGAGACCCTACCTCAAAATAAAAACTAAAAAGCCTGGGCAGGTAGTTGAGCACCACCTGGACTCCACCCCCACCACCAAAACAAGCCTCCCACCCTGACCTTTCCCTTTCAGCTATTGCCTTGAAAGCAGCCAGTGTAGTCTTCAGATCTCAACAGGTCCTTGGCAACACTAGGAAAGATACAAAGTACTCTATTACAACTTTTGCTCTTCAATAAACATTTTATTAAGGTGTCCTGAGTGTAGCTGTTTGTTGATTTTTTAGTCTTTTTCATGATTGTTTGCTTTTAAATTTTATTTCTTTTTTACTTATTTGTATTTTGGTTTTTGAGACAGAGCACTGCGATGTAGTTCAGGCTGGTCTTGAATTTACAGCTGTCCTGCCTCAGTTCCTGAGTACTGGGATTACCGGTTTGTGCCACCTAGCTGCTTTTAAATTTTAAAATGTGGTTCTGAAGGTTGAATCTAGGGCCCTTTGTGTGTTAGGCAAGTGTTCTACCACTGACCTACTTTCCCAGTCTCCCCCTTTTTAAATAGGTTCTCACTAAGTTACCCAGGCCAGCCTCAAACTTGCCATCTTCCTGCCTCAGTCTCCTGAGTAGTTTCAACTGAGTGTACTCCTATGCCCAGCTAAATCTGGGGGAGATTTTTTTGTTTGTTTTTTGGGTTTTTTTTCCAATTGTGTCTATTGATGCTGCTGTTTGTCAGTTGGGGTCTCCCTGTGTTGTACAGCTTGTCTCAAACACATGGGTTCATGCAACCCTCCTGACTCAGCCTCCCAAATAGCTGGGATTATAGCCATGAGCCACTATGCTGGCCCATGGACTATATTTCTTTTTTCATGTGAGTCTCACTTGGTCTCCCACAAATCTAAGTCCTTGCTTTGCAAAGGCTGCCAAATTAACAGTTGGCATCTCCTGGTTGTGTTAGAAATACAGAATTGCAGGCCGCATCTGAGCCCTGCCTAGTACAAACCTGCATTTTTCTTAAAGGTAGCATGGTTTTATCTTTATCAGTGGTAGGAAAAGAAATGCCCTCTGCAAAACGAGTTTGGGCCTAGTAAAACTAGGAAAGAAGTATTCTGTACCGCATGAGTGGAGTCCTGTGCAAGGACCTGAGGCAGACCCAAACCCACATTTTTACAAGATCCTCAGGGAACCCATCTGCAAGCTAAAACTTGAAAACAAAAGCTCTGAGAAATTTGTCTGCAAACCTGGGCCCAGCGCTAAGAGTTAGGGGCAGAATTATACGGAAACGGATTAAGCAAGTAATTTAGAATCATCTGGTAATTCAGGAGACAGCTACAGCAGATTAAGTTCCATTCCACAGGACCGTGCCCGGAAAGAAGCGGAGCTACGGTATGGAGCCGCGCTGAGGCAGGCGGGGCTGGAGGAGGACTTCGTGCGGAAGAAGGGTCAGGGCGCCCAGGCTGTGCGGCGGAAGGAGGCTCAAGGCCAGGGTTCATCCAGGTACCCGGGCCGCTCTGCTGTCCTGCGCTCCGGCTTGTCTCCCAGACATTGCCACACTGGGAGAAAACTTCGCGAGAGCTGCTTACACTCTGTGATCACAACCCCGTACATAAATGGGACTAAGCCAGAGGTCTGCCACATTATTGGGATTTAGAATAGTACGCTGTGGATAAAATCTACAGTTGTATTAAGTTTAGACTCTTTCAATTTGAAACATCATTTTCTAATTCAGGTTCCAATGCCATGAGTAGAAGTATTTCTACTTTCTAAAAACAATGTATATAATTTTTTTTTTT